ATGGACCAAGAGGCTCTAAGCGAAGTGGTGAGTGACACTGGAGAAATCTTTGAAGACTTCTGCACCCTCGTCCATTTAACAATTGAAGATAGCGTGTATAAACAAGGGTATGCACGAAGTGACATAGATTTCAGCTGACGGACACACGAAAACTCAGATAGGTTTCATGTCAATGTGGAGTGAAGAGACAGCCTTCTGGACACAGAATCGAGAAGGGGGCAAGTGTCGACTCAGACTATTATCTAGTGTAAGGAACCTTCAAGGTCAAGCCTTAAGTCTTGAAAGAAGTTGGAGACAGACCACAGTTGGAGTTCACATCCAGGAGCTTCGGGGCAAAGCTACAAAGGACACATCCACTGAAGTCATTAAAGTTAAGTCAGTGACACGATACATGGTTGCTGAGGAAACCCCAGTAAGTTGTGTTGATGTATAGTCTTCTTAGGAAGGAAGAAGAAGCAAGACATGCAACGGAAATCTGGGAGATGATAGAGGAGAGGAAACAGAACATGAACCAGTCCATAAATTGTAACGTTACCTACCTTTATTTAACAGACCATAGAATCTGTTCGCCGACTTCGAAAAGATCTTCAACAGCGTTGACCATAGATTTATATGAAAACTCTCAAGCATTCGAGAGCTACACGAAGTTGGTATTTCTAAGGTGGGAGTATGGCGTACAGGCATTGGCTGAGCCACCCAATTAGGACTATATACAATAGGGTGAAATGGAAGCATGAGGTTTATCTCGGTGTTTTCTTCGGAAGTGTAGTTGATAATTTTAAGTCAAACGTGTGACACCATAGTAACCAGGGGCTTATTTCCACCGTAGTTGATTTTCTGGAGAAGTATCTCTGTTCACCCACTCGACATTTGTCAACAAGCATCAGTAAACCTAGGGATAGGAATATAAGTAGCTAAATTTCATGCTCAGTGTGTTGGCCTCCGCACTGGTGTAGATGAAAATCTGTTGTTATTACGACAGTTGTGAGAGTTTTCGATACGTACTGACCGGCGGCGGCTTGTCCGTGTTGAACAGCTATTCGCAGCAATAGTAACCATTCCTAGTATGCATAAAGAAACCACCTGTCAAGGAACTTAACCCTAAGTTCCTATTATCTCCGAAGACGCTCGAACCGACAATTTTTATGAACGAAATTGACTTTGATTCCGAAACACAAGGACTTGTAATAAGTTGTTTTGTTCGGCAATTGAAATCAATATCGGTACAAAGTCCGTAAACAAATGTTTTACAAGAAGTGTATTATACTTTTATTTGTATTCTTCCAACTTGTACACGATTGAATCATTCGCGCCTTCGAGTTGCCCAACAGTGGCGACCAAGGCCGATGAATCACCGTTCACATTTATTTACACCACTCGTCAATGACAATTTCATGGTATACAATAATAAAAGAAACTGAGTAACCCTAGGGAAGCGTCACGTAACCCATCACTTGAATTCGCAGATATTCTTTGACAAATTAGGCATAAATGTTACTGTTACCATAGCAGCACCTTATATGCGATACATTAGCTCGTTAGGATGTCAGACAAATTTCAGCTCGCAAGGGAAAACCAATCTGTGAGAAACTTACGGGAACTCACAGTCGCATAGATGTTGACAGCGTGTTTCAAGAAACACATAAGTTTCCAATAGTAGTAAGTTAGCTAACAATAACTTCTTAACGTCAAACTAGTGTTGAACAGACACCAAACTAGGACAAGTAACAAAAGGGGCTACCTAGGTAAGTTTACTTCATAACTCTGTATAAGCATATCTTGTTAAAAGTGAAGATAGAATTATTGTTAACTAGTCACCTGAAACCAACCTGGAAATCTTCGTCACTCAGCTCACTCACTCAACAACAAAATTCGGTCGGATTTTCAGTACAAACAACGTCAAGTCAGTCAATTCTTCTATACGGATCAGAAACTTGGCGGGCGGGTCACAAAGAATATTTCCAACAGCCTGTTGCAGGCCTTTATCAACAACTGTCAACTATCGCTCTATACTGAAGATCAGATGGCCAGGTCGGAAAGAATCACCAACAAAAAACTATGGCTGAGAACAAACAAACAAAACAAGAACCAATCAATCGCCAGTCAACAAATATGCAGGAAAAAGTGGAGATGGGCTGGACACTCGCTGAGGAGGCCGCTGAGTGAGATCGCGCGCGTCAGGCCATTGTCCAAACGGGACCAGGCCGAAAGGGAAGCGACGAGGTGGTCGTCAGTGCAAGGGTGACATGGAGATCGCGTGAACAGGAGTTGAAAGAGTATGGACTATTAGTTTTAAAAGCAATAAAATAAGTACAATACACTAGTGTAGAGCCGTCGGCGAATGAATACCTGAGTGAGAAGCACTTCTTCGCTTACATTGTTTTATTCGTATATATTCGACAAGAATTTGTTTAAAAGACAATTTTAAAAAAAGAAGCTTTTAATTTGACCTATCAGCTAAACAACAAGAGGAATGCTTAAAATCGTAGGTTCGATGATTTATCTCTTATGCGCTTGCGTCATTAGAAATGAGCATATTATACATGAAATTAAATTGAATATCTTTATACCTTGTTGTTATCACAGGCTGAAAGACAATTAATTGAACACCTAATGTTAGTAAATATCTATGCTGAAGAATACATTAAGAATACTAATCAAGTTAAACGCGAAAGGAGGCAATAGTGCTAAAGATTTCACAGTAGATATACTGAAGAAAAAGACAACAACTATGAAACGATGAATATAACAGGAAATGAATACACAACAGTCAATTTGAACAAGAAAAAGGAACAGGAAAAGTACAGACATTATAAGTATGAAAGCTTATAAGGAAAGTGGTCAGTTGTAAAGGAATCACAACACTAAGACTCTATGAGAAGCTATATATATTATATATGCAATATATATATATATATATATATATATATATATACAGATTCATCACAGCAGAGCTAAATGAAGAGCAACTATACAGGCAGTTTATTCAGCGTTAATGTACACTAATTTTATCCCATGCTGACTGTCACTAGATACTGTTCGAGTCAGTTCTGGGGGGAGGTGGGAGTTCCAATTCTTTGACGTTTACATTGACTTTTTAAGCTTCCTGAGCTATTACTATTTACTGAAAATCTGGATAACGGATCAAGAAGATCTGAAAGGAAAGATGGGACAGTAAAAGTGTAAACTTTACAGAGAGAGCATCAACAAATATTCGGTATTAGATAACACAAGACACCAATTAGTAATAATTTGTCAAAACACGTTTCAGTGGTTTAAATAACATGAATTATAGGGATATACCACGCACCAATCTTACTTCCTTCTACAGGAGTATTGCAATTTCAATTTAAACTATTTTCAAAAAGATCAACTCTTTTACTATGAATGCATCTTTACATGGGTAAAAAAATGGCACTTGCAAATTGGTAAATAAAAAAACTCTGCATATAACGATAATAGTCTTTTGGTTTACGAAAAATAGGACTATAGACAGAAGCTTTACATCAAATTTAAATGCTCATTGTTGTGTTCAATGTAAATAAAGTGAAACACACAATCTGATTGTCTATCGATACTGATCCTTCACAAATGTTCAGAAAAACAAACAAACAACTAATACTTGCGAATTAGTCCAGATTTTAGAATGTTGGGGAATGGAGAACAGAGTACCACTACAATACGTAAGTAGGCACGGTTACGTAACTGAATTTTATTAATGAAAACAGTCAAGCCAATACCACCGAACTTTATAAAAGTTATCATTGTTTAACAGTTTAGGTGATCATGAATTCGTACGTCACTCGCGTTGTAAGACATTTTCTAAACGATTAACACGTCAAGGCATCACAGTCACTAAACACATGAACTTCTCTAATTATTCATAAGTATGAATGAATGCTTCAGGATTTCATCATGGAAAACTAATGTCAGCTCATGATGAAATCCTGAAACCAATCAAATCCCTACAAACGAACACTTGAATATGAATGAATGCATCGGTGGCACAAACGCTAGGACGCTCGCCGACCATGCACATGCTCCTGGGTTCGATCCCTGACCGACGCACTCCTTTACCTCGCTAAGACAGGAATAATGCAGGTAAAGAGGAAAGGTTGGGCATAAGGCTAGCAAACTCATCCTGTAAAATTACACACTGCTACAGAAACTTCAAGCCTTCAGCTTGAGGTCCTATGTTCCACTGCGAACGTGAAGGAAAAAAGAATGAAAATCTACATATTAATAATTCCTACAGTTCCGCTTCTCATCATTTTGAAAGATGGTTTATCTTATTTTACACCTATTTCATTATAATATAAAGACAGGACTCCAAGTGAACATAGACAAGATGGACGTTATGAAAATAACCAACCACCACCACAACAACAACAGCGACATCCAGCGCCAATCACCATCAACGGGAGGGATTTGAAAGAGGTGACTTCATTCACTTATCTAGGGAGCATTGTCTCAAATACAGCCAGTCGGAATCGACGAGGATGTCAAATCGAGCGATAATCGGGAAGGCGAGAAACACATTCATCAACCTGAAACCAATCTGGAAATCTTCGTCACTCACTCAACAACAAAATTCGGTCGGATTTTCAGTACAAACAACGTCAAGTCAGTCAATTCTTCTATACGGATCAGAAACTTGGCGGGCGGGTCACAAAGAATATTTCCAACAGCCTGTTGCAGGCCTTTATCAACAACTGTCAACTATCGCTCTATACTGAAGATCAGATGGCCGGGCCGGAAAGAATCACCAACAAAAAACTATGGCTGAGAACAAACAAACAAAACAAGAACCAATCAATCGCCAGTCAACAAATATGCAGGAAAAAGTGGAGGTGGATTGAATACTCGCTGAGGAGGCCGCTGAGTGAGATCGCGCGCGTCAGGCCATTGTTCAAGCGGGACCAGGCCGAAAGGGAAGCGGCGAGGTGGTCGTCAGTGCAAGGGTGACATGGAGGAGATCGCGTGAAGAGGAGTTGAAAGAGTATGGACTATTAGTTTTAAAAGCAATAAAATAAGTACAATACACTAGTGTAGAGCCGTCGGCGAATGAATACCTGAGTGAGAAGCACTTCTTCGCTTACATTGTTTTATTCGTATATATTCGACAAGAATTTGTTTAAAAGACAATTTTAAAAAAAGAAGCTTTTAATTTGACCTATCAGCTAAACAACAAGAGGAATGCTTAAAATCGTAGGTTCGATGATTTATCTCTTATGCGCTTGCGTCATTAGAAATGAGCATATTATACATGAAATTAAATTGAATATCTTTATACCTTGTTGTTATCACAGGCTGAAAGACAATTAATTGAACACCTAATGTTAGTAAATATCTATGCTGAAGAATACATTAAGAATACTAATCAAGTTAAACGCGAAAGGAGGCAATAGTGCTAAAGATTTCACAGTAGATATACTGAAGAAAAAGACAACAACTATGAAACGATGAATATAACAGGAAATGAATACACAACAGTCAATTTGAACAAGAAAAAGGAACAGGAAAAGTACAGACATTATAAGTATGAAAGCTTATAAGGAAAGTGGTCAGTTGTAAAGGAATCACAACACTAAGACTCTATGAGAAGCTATATATATTATATATGCAATATATATTATATATATATATATATATATATATATATATATACAGATTCATCACAGCAGAGCTAAATGAAGAGCAACTATACAGGCAGTTTATTCAGCGTTAATGTACACTAATTTTATCCCATGCTGACTGTCACTAGATACTGTTCGAGTCAGTTCTGGGGGGAGGTGGGAGTTCCAATTCTTTGACGTTTACATTGACTTTTTAAGCTTCCTGAGCTATTACTATTTACTGAAAATCTGGATAACGGATCAAGAAGATCTGAAAGGAAAGATGGGACAGTAAAAGTGTAAACTTTACAGAGAGAGCATCAACAAATATTCGGTATTAGATAACACAAGACACCAATTAGTAATAATTTGTCAAAACACGTTTCAGTGGTTTAAATAACATGAATTATAGGGATATACCACGCACCAATCTTACTTCCTTCTACAGGAGTATTGCAATTTCAATTTAAACTATTTTCAAAAAGATCAACTCTTTTACTATGAATGCATCTTTACATGGGTAAAAAAATGGCACTTGCAAATTGGTAAATAAAAAAACTCTGCATATAACGATAATAGTCTTTTGGTTTACGAAAAATAGGACTATAGACAGAAGCTTTACATCAAATTTAAATGCTCATTGTTGTGTTCAATGTAAATAAAGTGAAACACACAATCTGATTGTCTATCGATACTGATCCTTCACAAATGTTCAGAAAAACAAACAAACAACTAATACTTGCGAATTAGTCCAGATTTTAGAATGTTGGGGAATGGAGAACAGAGTACCACTACAATACGTAAGTAGGCACGGTTACGTAACTGAATTTTATTAATGAAAACAGTCAAGCCAATACCACCGAACTTTATAAAAGTTATCATTGTTTAACAGTTTAGGTGATCATGATATTCGTACGTCACTCGCGTTGTAAGACATTTTCTAAACGATTAACACGTCAAGGCATCACAGTCACTAAACACATGAACTTCTCTAATTATTCATAAGTATGAATGAATGCTTCAGGATTTCATCATGGAAAACTAATGTCAGCTCATGATGAAATCCTGAAACCAATCAAATCCCTACAAACGAACACTTGAATATGAATGAATGCATCGGTGGCACAAACGCTAGGACGCTCGCCGACCATGCACATGCTCCTGGGTTCGATCCCTGACCGACGCACTCCTTTACCTCGCTAAGACAGGAATAATGCAGGTAAAGAGGAAAGGTTGGGCATAAGGCTAGCAAACTCATCCTGTAAAATTACACACTGCTACAGAAACTTCAAGCCTTCAGCTTGAGGTCCTATGTTCCACTGCGAACGTGAAGGAAAAAAGAATGAAAATCTACATATTAATAATTCCTACAGTTCCGCTTCTCATCATTTTGAAAGATGGTTTATCTTATTTTACACCTATTTCATTATAATATAAAGACAGGACTCCAAGTGAACATAGACAAGATGGACGTTATGAAAATAACCAACCACCACCACAACAACAACAGCGACATCCAGCGCCAATCACCATCAACGGGAGGGATTTGAAAGAGGTGACTTCATTCACTTATCTAGGGAGCATTGTCTCAAATACAGCCAGTCGGAATCGACGAGGATGTCAAATCGAGCGATAATCGGGAAGGCGAGAAACACATTCATCAACCTGAAGCCAATCTGGAAATCTTCGACACTCAGCATCAGCAACAAAATCCAGTCGGATTTTCAGTACAAACAACGTCAAGTCAGTCAATTCTTCTATACGGATCAGAAACTTGGCGGGCGGGTCACAAAGAATATTTCCAACAGCCTGTTGCAGGCCTTTATCAACAACTGTCAACTATCGCTCTATACTGAAGATCAGATGGCCGGGCCGGAAAGAATCACCAACAAAAAACTATGGCTGAGAACAAACAAACAAAACAAGAACCAATCAATCGCCAGTCAACAAATATGCAGGAAAAAGTGGAGGTGGATTGAATACTCGCTGAGGAGGCCGCTGAGTGAGATCGCGCGCGTCAGGCCATTGTTCAAGCGGGACCAGGCCGAAAGGGAAGCGGCGAGGTGGTCGTCAGTGCGAAGGTTAATGGAGGAGATCGTGTGAAGAGGAGTTGAAAGAGTATGGACTAAGATGGATGCAGGTGAAAAGTACAGCAACAGAAGACAGAAGCAAGTGGAGATGTGCAGTTGAAGCCCTATGTTCCACTAGGAACCCAAGGGAGCAATAATAATAATTTGTTGGCTAAAGGATCTAATGAAGTCAGTTAAATAAAACAATTCAGTTTATTTACTACCCTGTAATGTTTGTCAGATCAAAGTAGTAGATCGGGGTCAATCCGACTGTCTCTGTCTGGATTCAACATAGAACTTGCCACCGAAGTGCAGCAGTTCGAGTTGCCACGTTCCAAATAGCACATAGAGGTAGACAAGAAGATGAGTGAAGAGAATCAATACAGTCTGACAAGTATAAGAGTGAAACAGAATGGGTAATGGTAGAAAGGAATATGAAAGATTATAGAGACTGAATACACCTGAGCCATTGACAACGATTTTGAGCCATGTCACCTATTGTCTCCAGCCATTGATTCCTAGAGTCCCGAGGGCCCCAACCCGGGAGTCTGCATCTCCCTAACTGACTCAGTTTAACTGTCAAGGATTTCATGGATTGATGCCATGTTTTTGTTTGGCCACCACTGGCTCTTTTCCAACCTTCACCTATATCAGCTAGCAATGCCCGTCGGGGGAGGCGGTGGTTAGGCATGCGAAGCACGTGACCTAGCCATCTTAGTCTATGTAACTTTATAGCCTCGTCGATTGATTTTCCCTCTTTGCCCAACACTCTACGCCTAACGTCAACATTACTTACCTTATTAAACCACCTAACGTGAGACAGAGATCGCAGACATCTATGATCGAAAGCAGTCAACTTTTTCATGTCTTCAACTCGTGTTGGCCATGTTTCAGAGCCATAGACAAGGACAGAGCGAACTGCTGAGCAGTACACACGTCCCTTGGTTGATAACCGGATGTCACGCCTACGCCAGAGATGGTGTAAGTCAGCGAAAGCAGCTCGAGCTTTTCGGATCCGTGCTGAGATTTCATCGCCAATCAGTCCGTTGGTGCTAATACAACTTCCCAAATAGGTGAAGTGGTCAACATGTTCTATCACTTCACTCCCTATCACTAAGTTAAGAGTTGACGTGGTCCAGTCCTGTAGTAGCATCCTACATTTTGCAGGGTCAATCCGACTAGAGAGGCATAGAAACCTAGCATAATCTAGATTAGTTGCCCCATTGACGCGCACTACGTTTGCTTAGTTACATAAAACTGTTATTTCTCTGTTGTTTCTGGAATTTATTTTAATTATTTTACATTCGAACACTGAACCTGTGGATGTTATCTTATTGAATTATAATACCTATAACTAACTATTTGGTCTATTGTGACTGTTTAACACTAATTAATATCTATAATTATATATATTATTGGATTTACATACCTAAGTTGACCCATATCAGTGAGTCTATGGTCTGGATATCATTTTTGTTAACTGTATTTGACCGTGATACTACTGCTACGGATTTTTTATTGTTGTTGTAGCTGTCCTCCCAGTTGTGAATTTTTTCCTTTTGCTAGTGTTTGTTCTGATTGCTTTATTCCTTGTTTTCTTGATTCCGAGAGGAGCAACCCATAAAGTCGCTGCTCTGTAAACTGAATATAAATGTAACGACCCCCTTCTCAGGCTTGAGGCTAGTAACCCCACCGTGTAAACAAAATTGCTACAGAAACTTCAATACGATGAATCTCCTTACGACAAAACAAAAAGTCTGTGTGGAGGCATAGAACATCTGCACCATGTATGAGACTGGCAAAGTCGCCCAAATTGCAAACGAGATGAAAAGATATGGTATTTAAGTACTGAGAATATGCGAAAGTAGATGGAATATAAGTGAACTCACCAAATTGTCAACGGGAGTTGATGATCTACTCCGATCACCCAGAAGACAACCACGAGCACACCGAGGGTGTGGTTATCATGAAGTCACCAACGGCAACGAAGGCCCTGACACAATGGGAGGCGATCTCACCCAAGATAATGACTACCAGATTCAACTCAAAAGGAAGGAAAGTGACAGTTATACAATGCTATGCACCCACAAAGAACGCAGACTTCGAAAAGAAAGAAGAGTTTTACAGGCAACAATGGACAATACTACCAAATGGTGGTATTAAAATTCCAATAGGCAACATGAACGCCAAACTGGGACCAGACGACACAGAAAGAGAACTCATCATGGGTAGAGAAGCTCTTAGAGAAATGAATGAGAATGGAGAAGTCTTCGCTGACTTATGTGCCTTCAATGAACTAGTGTTTGATGGCTGCGTATACAAGCACAGGGATATCCCCACAAAGATAAATGGGTGTCGCCAGACGGGCGAACCACAAACCAAATCGACTTCATCTCAATCTCAAGGAAGTGGAGACGCAGCTTACTGGACACAAAAGTAAGAAGAGAAACAGACGTTGGCTAAGACCACTATCTCGTGCAAGGAACACTCCAAATCAAATTAAAAGCTTTCAAAGAAACAGGAGTTGCAGATAGGCTACAAGCCAAATTCAATACTCAAAAACTGAAGGATCAGGATACAAAGGATAACTTCACTACGGTCATAAGGAAAAAGGTGGAAACACAATATCAACACTAGCGAAGAGGCCAGCGTTGAAAAGCACTGAAACAGCCTGAAAGCTGTGTGAAGTCAAACCTGCATGGGATTTCTGGGCAGAAAGAAGAGACAGGACAAACAGTGGCTCACTGCGGACACTTGGAAACTAATAGAAGAGAGAAGGATGGTGAAACAAAAGATTGTCCAGTGCACCGACGAGCAACAAAAACAGGAGTTGAATGCAAGCTACAATACACTGAACAAAAGAGTGAAGAAGAGTGCCAGGGAAGACAAAAGAAAATATTATGAAGCCATGGCAAATGAAGCAAAACAAGCTGCAGGCAAAGGAGACCTTGCAACACTCTACCAATCAACTAAGTTCCTGTCGGGGAAAAATTCAACACAAATGAAGCCAGTGAAGGATGACAATGGAAATTCAATCACCAAAGAGGTGGAGCAAAGGAAAAATTGGTCTGAACACTCCAAAAGACCAACAACACTCCCAATAATAACAACAGCGGAAGCAGAACTACCAGAGGAAATCAACCCTCCGACGAAAACAGAAATCCTGAAGGCAACTGAGATGCTAGAAATTGGAAAAGCAGCA